AGGAACCCTAGAAATCCCCATTTTACCATGCTTTCGACAAGTTTGAGGGTGTAAGAGGGAGGAGGACCGGTCGCGACTTCCAGAGTTGAAGTCGGAGAAGCAATTTGAGGGTGTAAGAGGGTACACTCGCCGGAGTTCAAGGCCACTGGGATCGCTACCCAGAAATCTGACGTTTACGCATTTGGGGTTGTGATTCTTGAATTGCTAACTAGGCAGGAGCCAGTGGGGTGGGGTGGCGTGGGGAGGTTGAAGAAGAAGGCGGCTGTTTAATTTCTGTTTTTGGTTTTGGATGGCGTGGCGTAGGGTGGCGTGTGGGTGGGGGTGGGGTGGGTGAAGAAGAAGAAGATGAATAGTAATATTTTTTTTATGTTTTAGTTATTTATTTTAATTGTTTTATTATAGGATTAAGTAACTTTTACCTTTTTACCATTTTCAATTGGTCAAAATAGGTCAACATTTACTTTTCTTGGTCAACTAATGGTCAAAGGGACGGTTTCTATCTATTTGAACCTCCGATGCATATTTTTGAAAGGTTTGGTACCTCCGGTGGCACAAACTAAAAGTTTAGGCAAAATCTGCTAATAAACGAAAGGTTTGGTACCTCGACTGCAATTTTCCCTAATATTAAGCGAAATATGCAGTCTTCATAAAAATAATTATTTGAACTCTTAGATCAACTTTATTACTTGTTTATACTGCCATGTACTTATGGAATTTTAGCACAACATGGTTGGTGTAAAGTACTAAATATTATTAAACAATATATATTAAAATTATGCCCCATGTTTAAGCCCCATTTTTTGGGATAATAGGTTTTATAATAGTAAATTTTTTAGAATGTATGATTAAAAAGTAGGAAAAGAAATTTAAATTTACATGCTGAATATTTTATTGTATCAATATCAAAAATCTCAGTTTTTTTATACTTATTTTCAATCATATATTCTTTAAATAAAATAACTTTTGCACATAAATTCAATTGTTTTCTTACTTTTTAATTACAAATCCTTCAAGAATTCATTATTAAAAACTTTATTTTTGCCAAATAATGATCATCAAATAAGGGCTAAGTCAAAATTAGCAATTAATTTTAATAACATATTTATATGAGATCACATCTTTTCAACCACATATATTATCAACTTTTATTAAAATCTACAGAAAATCTAATTTTAATCCCCACAAACGGAGATAATTAATATTGTTTACTTCACTTCACTAATTATGTGAGTCGTTGAAAATAACCTCCACAACTTGATAAATGAAAATTTCATTCTTGTAGATCTTGATTTTATATAATCTTGACAAAATGCTATAATGAAAAAAAAAAACCATAGTCTATCGAGATATTATAATAACTTGCAGTTTTCACACCTTGCTTGGTGTGTCTACTGTGTTTGATTCCTCGTGTTTAGCATGTTAATATTCCAAACTTGTGATGTTGCAAAAAAGCAGCCGGTGGGAACAAATCATAGTACAATTCTAAGCTTGTTAAAGTTGTTTAAAATAGTTCAATTTGTGTTGTACGCAACAGTAGGATTCACATGTGTTACTTGTAAAAATTTATAATATTATTGTAATCAATTATATTGAGCAGAAGATTTTATGATGGAACTTTCAAATAGTGAAGTTAAAATCTTAACAAGAGATTTTTGCAAACACCTTAATATTTTCCAATGATCAAGTCAAACTTTATTATTGTACTGAAACTCATCGAGAAATCAAGTCAATCATTCTTTTATACAATGTGTAATGGAACTTATATGCTCATTCAAACTCTAATTATTGACCTTTGTTCTTGTTGGATATTGGTTAAATAAATCGAGAATTGAAAATAGATTAAAGATCGATTAAAGTTCGTATCGACTTCGGCCAAATACTCAAAAACTCGACTCAATCCGTTTAGGCAAAAATTGTTTGCCAAATATTCAAAAGCTCGACTCAATCCGTTTAGGCAAAATTGTTTGCCACTTCGCCGCTTTGGGGCGCACAAACGGGGATCGACCTGACCGGTCAGGTCGCGGGAGTCGAGAGGGCAGCGCCCCCTGTGGGGGGTCGGGGGCAACGCCCCCGAAAGAGAATTTTGATTTCTCTGCATGTATTGAAGGGTATATTTGGCATTTCGAAAACCAATATCGGATGAATGAGAAATTACGAAAAAGGACGAAAATCAGTTAATAGACACCTTTCCATAAAGGTGCATTATTTGGAAAGGGTGTATGGTTTGGCCTCAACCATTAGTGAATAGACACATTTTCATAAAGGTGCATTGTTTGGAAAGGGTGCATGGTTTGACCTCAACCATTTCGTCCACACCCTTTCATGGTCTATAAATAGGACCCTTTGGGTGTCTTATTCCACATAATTTGATATGCAAAACGTCTCTCATCCTCTCTTCTATCCAAAATCAAAATCATTTCATTTATTTTGATTTTCTTTCATTTCATCCTTGGAGTACATAAGCCTAAATTTGGTTCATTGTACTTGTGTTTTGGAGTGCTACAAATACAAGTGTAGCCGTTGTATCTTGGGAGTCGATTGCCGAAATCCGTAGGCACCGTTGCGGGGCAAATTCGACTTAAAGACAAAGAGTCCAACTCTTGCCTCGACTTCGTCACCATCATTATACTTATTTCGGCGTCACTATTCACAAAATTCATCCAACAGTTCTACGATCGTGTTACAATTTCTCGTGAAATCTACTAGAAAGTTACCAAAATAATGTATTTTAAGCTCTGACGCGGCGTGAAATAAGGAATTCAAGCTAAAACCTTAAGTACACAATTTTGGAATTCACCAAATTAGAGAAAAATAAACTCAATAAATTATATTAATGTAAGATGATAAAAAAACGATGAATTAACTTTTTATTTATGAGAGTTTACATGAAAATCTAGTTTAAACAAATTAAAATTGCAAAGAATTCGAAATAAAACAAAGAAGCAGTCCTGCTAAGCTAAAGGGCACATAGATATGCCCAATTCTTCCATGAATAAAAATTATTTCTATATAAACTATGGTACGGTCACTCACTAAATGACAAAAATAAAAGTAAAACTTTAAAAACAGTTTGAGTATTAAACGAATTCGGATGGTCAAAGTCCATCGTATATCACAGTATAATCTTGAGTTCTACTCATTTCGTCGTTCTATTTTCGAAAGGGTACTATGGGCCAAAACTGAAACTCGATTGCCACAATAACGCCCCGAAAATTTTATAGAATAAAATTTATTTGTTCTATGTACTACATATTTATATTTTGAAATTGAGGGATTAAAATGAAATATATTTTAAATTCTTATATTTTTGGGGTCAAATAATTACGTATTGCTAGAGCGATGATAAGTATTTTGATATGGGGCTAATTTGATAGCTCGTATTAAATTATATATATTATGCTCTAGATAAAGTTATTTTGATTAAGTTCGAACTAAGTTAAAGCCAATAAAAGATGACTAGCTTAATTTATTTATTTTTTAAAGAACAAATAGAATTGTCTAGGAATTAGTCGGTGGATTGGCCGAATTTGATTTGATTTAGTTTAGTTTAAGTGATATTTTCATCCTTAGTTATGATTAGGCTAAACTTCGATAATTCAATCCTAATGTAATTATATAAACGGTTTAAGCTTATCACTAATAAGCCAATTCCTTTCTTTTCCTAGCAGTGAACGTGCATCTGTTTAACTAAGAAATCATTATTTTGACTAAATACTAATTCTACTAATTAAACTCAATATTATCCAAAACAACTTGGGGTACACGACTCCTCTTTCCAATTGAACCAAAATTCGTTTGATTCCCATTTTTCTAAGAATGAGAATAAAAAATATAATCGTTACAGGACCCACACAAGAAATAGAAAGTCAAATATGGTAGATTGATGTGATGGATAACGATCATATTTTTCATTTTTGTGGCTAAAGAATGAGAATCAAATGGGGGCTGTGAATATTGATTTCAACTATAGTTATTATATGTAATTCCATTATTTCACCATTAATATTAATATATATATATATATATATATATATGGCAGCAAGAAGTTTTTAAAATCAACAGCCAAGTTAGAAAAAAATTTGGATGTGCAATCATATTATTTTGTTTCAAAAAATCATTTGATTTAACGAGGTAAGATATTTTTGTGCAAGTGATTTGTTTCCGTATGCTTTTATATTCAGTAATTTATGCATGAATTGCTAGTGGACCTTCAAGTTCGAACTAACGAAGTGTAAATTATATTGGGCTCTTGGTAGTGAAATGTGAAATTCTTCGAGAATTCAGAATGATTAGTGATGGGTATCTCATTTGGTTGCCAATATACTCTATAAGAAAAATGTAGTATTAAGTGTTTATTTTATTGTCATATAATTGTCTATGAAAACCTCATATGTCTTACTGAGTATTTTTAAATATTCACTCTTGAAATAATTTTTAAGATTAATAATTCGAGTTGATTGAAACTATGGCAAGATCGTGATGTGGACTGTCGAGTATTTAAAGAAATAAAAACATTAACTTTTTTTTTAATTTCGCATTTTATTAGCAATTTTTATTTGTTCAAGGGCACATTTATTAATTAGTCAACTAATTATGTTTAAATTTTTTTAGAAACTCAGATTCTACGTTTTAACTAATATTTATGGTTGAGAATAAAGGAATTACTTTTATTTGTGTCTATTCTGCATTTATCGTGAAAATAAAGTGAATTTTTGGCGAAAATTTAAGATGTTGCAGCCACACCTAAACTATTGACTTTTTCATTTTCGATGCTCGAGTACCTCAGTGCTTTTTGTGTGGAGGTATTTGTTCCTGCTAGAGAATCTTCTTTTAAGTATAATCTTTACTATGTAAAATTATTCCATGCTTATAATTTGCTCAAAATTAAGTAGAAAGTTTTCTTAAGTGATTTACAAAATTAATTTTGTCTAAGAGATTCCCTTCTTTTGAGAGGTATAAATACAAGACTATGTTTCATATGCCATGCAACAACAAAACATATTTTTCTTAGTACTCCAACACTAAATTTCCCAAGCCTATGGACAACATAAAAATGGAAGGCTTACCTTGGGCTCGAATGGTAACATTTTTCTTAAATGTTTGTTATTTTATTTTTTTACATTATATTTCTTCTCATAATGTCGGATTGTTAATATAGCCACATAAATTGTTGTTAATCATCACTGCTTATTAAATAGTCTTTTGTTACATAAAAAGTAATCATAAACTATTCTTTCAAGAGAGGCTTGGATATAAAATTAAGTTAAACGAGAAAATAATATATAGGGATTAAAATACTCTCGTCAAGTTCTAAATCTAATTTCATTGTAATCTCATATATGCCATGATTTTCCACCAAAACTCGAATTTATTCGCATAAATTCTTCAATGTGATAGATTGTATACATTTGTAGGTTAATGAATTTAGTTGATAGATAGTCCAATTATTAAGGGATATAATTTCACATCGAATAAAGATGAAAAAAACTAATTTATAAAGGTTTGTGCTATTCCTCTTAACAAAGTTAATCTTTTAAGATGGTACCTCAAGTTTTAATATGGTATTAGAGCTCATTAAACTCTAAAAGCTATTCGATTCAATTAAGACTCAAAAAATGAGCAAATGTATTTCAAAATCGATCCGCTAAAAAAAGCAACCCTCTTGCAAGGGTATATTAAGGGATATAATCCCACATTTAATAAATATGAAGACAAAGACCAATTTATAAGAGTTTAGACTACTTCTCTTAATAAGGTGATCTTTTAATTTAGAACCTCAAATCTTAATATGAGTAAGGCATGGTAAAAAGGGCAGCCCAAAAAATTTTTAGTCCACCCCAAGTGGAAACTTTAGCTTTCCCTACTCAACCCATTGTTTCCGGTATATAATAGACAATTCTTATAAACATTTAAAGGTTATTCAATATAAAGATACAGATATGTCGTATTGGATGAGCTAGCCCTAAACTGCTTGGCTCGTTGAAGGCTCTGCACAAGAACCAGCACATGCGTAGAACGGGCCAGTCACTAGCTGTACCATCTGAACCGATAGGCCAGGTTGATTCTCGTGCATGGGGCCCAGTAGTTGAGCGAACCCCATGAAAAAAAGAAACTATACAGAGTGGAGTGCTCCTATAGGGCTAAGCCACATCATCTTCTCAGTGAATTGGGCGACCATCGACACATCTAAAAAAATATACGGAATTGAATTGTTTAGGACTTATTTTAGTAAGAATTGTTAATTAAATGTGTTTGATTAATATAATTTTTCATCTGAAAAATACTAAAATTTTGAATATTTTTGTATCTATTTGACTTTGTTTTTCATGAAAATTTTCAATTAAAGAGATAAAATTTGTTATAGTTGTAGATAGAATTTGTTTCCAATGTCCAAAAAAAAAAAAAAAAAAA